ACTTGGTCTGGCTTCCTTATTTTCTGCTTTTATTTCTTGTAGATCTGACTGGGACATCTTGTTGTGTGAACGGTTAATGTTCAAATTGTAGTTAAGAGCACTTGGGTTTCTCTTTTTTTTAAAGGCTACTTTGCTTGTTATGGACTATTGTAATGTGAGGTTCTTTTCAAATTTTGTATTCTAACTCTTCGGACGGTGCGGATGTGTTTTGGTTCTCTCCACTAGATTCTTTTCTTCTTTGCTACTCAAAAGATTCTTTTGACCTGATTTCTTGTTTTTTAGCTGTTGCTTTTGGGAGATATGTTGTTTTCACTTGAGAATGCTGGAATTGGAAAGAAATGTGAACTTTTGTGCGATAATGGTTCAGTGGGAACATGAAACTAGTGAAAAATACATGACTTACATTTCTTGTGAACTTAGGTTTGTAGAAAAGTTGAACCAAGATAATAGTCTAGTCACTGTCGGTTACTGATGGTGATGAGCTGGTAATTTTAATCAGGAATCTAGTTTTCATGGTTTTGTTTTGTTTTATCCCATTGCTTTATTTAGTAAAACTCTTCTTTTTTTGCTCAGATTGTGAAATGTCTATGCGTTGTCCTTATCAGTGCACCCTTTCACCTTGTTGATGCAGGAATCTGCGGGAGCTGGACTTGCATGAGAGCGATGTGGAGGACCTGAGTGGGCATTGGCTCAGCCATTTTCCTGATACGTACACATCACTTGTTTCCCTTAACATTGCCTGCTTAGGGTCTGAGTTTAGTTTCTCTTCTCTGGAGCGCCTGGTGGGTAGGTGTCCCAATCTGAAGAGTCTCCGGCTCAATCGCACTGTGCCTCTTGACAGGCTAGCCAATCTACTTCACCGGGCACCTCAGCTGGTTGAGTTAGGCACAGGGGCCTGCTCGGCTGAGTTGCGGCCTGATCTCTTCTCAAACCTAGCAGGTTCACTCTCGGGATGCAAGGAACTCAAGAGCCTATCTGGGTTTTGGGATGTGGTCCCAGCATATCTTCCAGCTATTTATTCTATCTGCCCTGGGCTGACATCACTAAATTTGAGTTATGCCATTATTCCAAGCCCCGATCTTATAAAGCTTGTTAGCCAATGTCCAAATCTGCAGCGCCTTTGGGTATGTCCCATCTTATTTTGATGTTTTCAACCTCATATGCCTTTAATTCAATTTTAATCCTCCTTAGGTCCAAGGGTCAGATGCTTACAGATGCAAATAAGTTCCAATTGGTAATTCCATTTTGTAGCTAATTAAGGATATGACTGCAGGTATTGGATTACATTGAAGATGTTGGCCTTGATGCCCTGGCAGTATCTTGCAAAGATCTACGAGAATTAAGGGTGTTTCCATCAGATCCGTTTGTAGTGGAACCAAATGTGTCGTTGACAGAGCAGGGCCTCATATCTGTTTCTGAGGGCTGTCCAAAGCTCCAGTCAGTTCTGTACTTCTGCCGGCAAATGTCTAATGATGCACTAATCACCATTGCAAGGAATCAACCTAACTTTACATGTTTTCGTCTTTGTATAATTGAGCCCCGAACTCCAGACTACCTTACCCTTGAGCCACTTGACGTGGGTTTTGGGGCCATTGTTGAGCACTGCAAGGATCTCCGGCGGTTGTCTGTCTCTGGTCTACTAACTGATCGTGCGTTTGAGTATATTGGAACACATGGAAAAAAGTTGGAGATGCTTTCTCTAGCCTTTGCTGGAGATAGTGACTTGGGGCTTCATCATGTATTGTCTGGGTGTGAGAATCTACGGAAACTGGAGATTAGGGACTGTCCTTTTGGTGATAAGGCTCTTTTGGCCAATGCTGCAAAGCTGGAGACAATGCGATCCCTTTGGATGTCTTCTTGCTCAGTGAGTTATGGAGCATGTAAGCTGCTAGGTCAGAAGTTGCCGAGGCTTAATGTTGAAGTTATAGATGAGAGGGGACACCCGGAGTCCAGGCCGGAGAGCTGTCCTGTTGAGAAGCTCTACATTTATAGGTCCATCGCGGGGCCAAGGTTTGACATGCCTGGCTTTGTTTGGACCATGGATGAAGATTCTGCAGTGAGGGTTACTTGACACTTGGGGGTTACTTGACACTTGCGCTGAGACACCCACGGATTCAAACCCTTGATATGTCTTGCATGTGGGGGGCATAGCAGGTACATGCTTAATATATGGTACTCAATTGTTTCGCATTTAAATTCATCGGTAGCTTAATATAGATGCAGCTCTGATTGGAGTGGAAGCGGGGTAGGGAGGTATACAGAGGCTCAAGAGCTCGATTGCCATTCATTTTACCATTGGCTGAGCTATGGGATACCAGTTAGACTAATAAAGAGATTTAAGCTCCTGTTGTTGTTGTTGTTGTTGTTGTTATATGTATTGAACAGAGTTGTTAATTTTATTCGGCATAGCCACCACCATGTATACCAGCTGCAGACTTTTGCATGTTTATGCATTTATGTGGCCTCTTTTTTTCAACAGGAAGTAATTGCCATGTGGACCCATTTGTATCATTGTTAACCTTCGATCTCAGCAAATAAAGCTTCAAATTTTAATATTTATCACTTGTAAGCTATAATCTTGAAGCATTCTATCATGTAGATTTAGTTGATTTTGTGAAAGATGGATTAGATTGGTGGATTGGATCGGATCGCTGCTGAAATGTATGAAGGAAATGTTGTTGAAAGCTCTCTTTGAGTTTGAGGACCTCTTCATACGTTCTTCTTGCAACTGCAAGAAGGTGCCGATTGTTCTGCCAACAATTTTCTTACATTACATGTTACACTACTCTAAGATAATTATTGACATTTTGAGTAATCATTGTTGTGAGATCTCCAAACAACCATACCATGGGGTAGGTAAATAATATGAGAGAGAAATGACATTTCACTCATAGGTTTTTACATCTTTACATTTCAGCAACCCAAAAGAGAGAAAATAATTGAAGGGTAGAAAAAAGAAAGGTAAAAAAGGCAGTTGGGTAGAAAAAGCAAGCTCCTTTGGTAAATGTATGTATGCTGAGTTGGCAAGCTTTTAATGTTATTGGGTAGGGAGAGAGAGAGAGAGAGAGAGAGAGAGAGAGAGAGACACCTCGACTTTTGAGCCACGTGATAGATTCGGTGACATTGGAGGGTGTCCATAACTTTTTGCTTCATTCACGCTCTCTTTTCTAGTCCACACCACCACCTGATGACCCAGCAAGAGCAAGCAACCCAAGAACACTCCTTATTTAAGCCATTTGAATATCATATAGATTTCCACAGTAATTAATTAAATTAAAGAAAATATGAGATAATATAATAAGACAACCCCAACGGAGAGAGAGAGAGAGAGAGAGAGAGAGAGAGAGAGAGAGAGAACGCAAAAAAAGATAACAAGGACAGAGATTGAAAACAACTTAACACAGACACCCCCCCGCCCCACCACATACTGAAAAACTGACTCCAAAAAGAAAAGAAAAAGAGTTGGTGAATGACTGAGCAGAGCTGAGATGAGATGAGAATTGAGTGTGGTGTGGAATGTGGGGCAATCAAATTTGTAGACACTTTATTGGTTGATGATGGCCACACGTTTGAGGGTATTGATGATCATCATCATTTTTATTCTCTCCTCCTCTCCTCCTCCTCCTTCCTTACCACAATTCTTTTGCTGATTTCGTCACTCACTCACTCTGATTTTACTGTTTCACCCCCCAACCTCACCTATATCATCATGATATATCAAAGTAAACTCACTCACTGACTCGTACTGTATGTATCATTATAAAGAGAGTTAAAGTTGTGCAATCCTTCAGTGTGTCCTGCCTTGGCCCCAGCTCTCTCTCTCTCTCTCTCTCTCTCTCTCTCTCTCTCTCTCACAGTTAAAGTTTGTACCAAATAAGTGAACCTGCATTGTACAATTCAGATCCTTGTTGCCCAACAAACATAAATGCAGGTGGGGATGGCTAGTACACTAAACAAAAATGAGGATGAAACTTAATTATCAGTCCCCCAACAACCCACCAAAACTAAACAAAGATGAAAACATAATCAAGGATTAAGATCTTAGTTTCAAATATCATATTCTGCTAATCCAACTTCATCATATCATATCATCGACTATTAAGAAAAAGCAAAAAAAACCTTTTTAGCAGATTTCTGTGGGGGCAGAATATGGGTTCCTGACAATGCCAAGGGCCAGTAAAGAAATGGTCTAGACTTAGTTTAGGAAATCGGCATGGATATGGAACCAAACTTGGACTTTTAAGACCCCAAAATACTTGGACTCTGAAGAAGCTCCGGGAGCAAGCCTTATAGTGTTGGATGCTAAATTCTTGGTTTCTAAGACATACTATAACTTTCCCAGAAGACTCGACTTGAAAGAGTTTCAAATACAGGCGCAAGTTTCTGGCTTTTGTCATTCTTTCTTTCACCCTTTTGGCTGATAAATAATTGTTGCCGAGGAGGCTCAAGCTTTGAAGTTAGGTGATGAGGAAGTTGGTTTGCTCAGAACAACATGAAGGTAGTTCGCATCTTATGGGACTTCTAATGGCACTTGATATAGCCCTCGTACTCTCATGTTCATCATTAAACCACGTCCGAAGTACTCTCTAATTGCTGTGCATCGCATCCGCTGACAATTTTTTTTTGATTAAACGTTTCGGCACTGGCCCGTGTGCTTCTGTGTTTGTGATTATATGCCTGGGCCGGCATTTTGCTCGGTGTATGGCTGGTTCGGTCAAATTGTATCGGCTAGATGAGTGTTTATATGCGTTTTTGTTTAGAACCATGGTGTTAACTGATAATAACGTAGCCTATGTTTGTCCTTCAGTAATACAGAAGTTTTTTTTTTTTTTTTTTCAACTTTGAGGCATGAGTTTTCGAAACTTTTAATCCTCTCCCAAAAGAGAGTTATGCTTGGCAAAATAATTGAAATCAATAAGCATTTAAATGGTCATAGCAAATGTTGAAAAGAACTACCAGAACAATAATCTGTAGATAGAACATATTTGGCACCTTAACGATATCAAAATGGTTTTACATTTGCTTGAGGAACTGGAATTGCCCTTATCAAGGTTAGTTGAGTAATTCAATCAGCAACATTACAATTATCCAAAAATCAAACATTTCGAAATTTTCACAAACTATGTTTGCTTTGCAGAACCTTGAAGAGTCTCCAAAAGATGTTCAATTCTGTACTTCATAACAGGCTGACCTTTATGTGTTTTCTTAAGCATCTTCCCCCTCACAGACTTCCTCCGGGCTTCGGCCTTCTCTCGTTCTTCCTTCTTTGCCTGAATAATCGCATCCCTCTCCCTTCTTGCCTTCTCTTCCTCTTCATGCTTCTTCTCATACACTTCTATTAAATTACGAGCACCATACCTCTTTTTCTTCTTGTTATTCTTACTCCTCTTAACACCATCTTCGGTTTCGTTCTCCTTCTTACTACCATCTTCAGTTTCATCATGCTTCCTACCACCATTTTCAGTTCCATTCTCCTCCTTACCGTGTTCAAATTCATTCTCTTCCTGTACCAGCCACCAAAAAGATAAATGAAATAAAATTTCAAGATTGTGTTTCACAAAAAGGATTTCAATTGGTTTCTTATATTATTTACAAACAATGCTAATCTTGTCTCAATCTGTTTCTAAAGAAGAGGCAATAAAACATTGCTAAAAATCAAACCTCAAGGGGTCTTATAGCCAATGGAAGATTGCTCTGCTGTTGCTTTAGTGACTTCTTATACTTGTTCACATACTTGGAATTCTTGTAAAACTCCTTTTGCTTCTCTGACAGAAAACACAACCAAACCTGTTTGTTAGAATCATTATAAATATGCTACAAGGGAGTGGTCATAAGTTTCATGTATATAGATCCTTCCCAGCAAGAAAAAAGTAAAAGATGATCATATAAACAGGAAAACACTGAAATAGAAACAGAGAAAAACTAAAACCCAAGTAAAGAGCAAATATTTAACAAAGTATAATGAAAATGCAATTAAAGGAGGGGGCTTTATACTTATCAAAGCAGGATTGAAGTAGCTGCTGCTATTTGATTTGGCATTAGCGAAGGCCTCCAGTGAAAGGCCTTGCCCACCCATTCTCCTCATGTTCTTCTTCTTCTTCTTCTTCATGCTATCCTTCTTTTTGTTGATCGATGTCGAGCCGTTGAATTTCTCCCTGTTTCCTTCGTCTTTTGGGTATCGATTCTTCATGACGGAAAGGAATTGGGAAAATATTGAGAAGCTGATGCAGAAATACGGTAAATTCGGCCAAAACGGTGAGGAAGATTAGGCACTAAAGCGAAGGAATTGGAAACCTAATTTGCAGGATTGGTAAAAGTGCTTTACTGCAACTGTGCAAGGCGGTACTCGTAGAGATTGGGTACCTTTACTTTATGTAACAAAAGCAAATATGACAAATTGTAAATAAATAAATCAGTTAAAATTAAATTAAATCATTTTTTTTTCCAGGAGTATGGAGTCCAGACAAACTGTGGTGCAGCATCAATGGGAATAAAAAATTTGACCAAAAATAAAAATCAATGTGAATAAAAATAAAAATATTTACATTATTTTTTGCAATATATGTCATGTATTATAAGTAGAAAGTAAAGTATAGTAACAAGAAAAACAATTAGCTCTTAATATATTGGTATTTTTCTTTTTAACCGTTGAAAAAAATACTATCTTCGAAATCCTTCGTACACTTTATTGATAAAATAAGTTAATTAGTCATAAAAGAAAAGCACTTCATTTGAGTTAAATTCATAAAATTAGCATGATGAAGCGATATAATAGTTCGAGTTTAGTTTTTCTTTTAATAAACGAATGCATGATCTCTCGTTAGGGAACTTCGAAATTTGAAGAATGTAATTGTCGTAAGTGATTGAATTCATGTATTAGGAAGCAATATAATGTTTGGTATGCGTGTCTATCTACTTCATAGATAAATTTGCAAGCATCCATTGGATTGGATTAGATTTTCCTTTTTGTTTCGCTACAATTGTGATTAGACTAGATTTTCTCGTTTCTATTTGTAGTATTCATTCATTCTGGTAGGAAAGCCCCCACATGTAAGAATAAACCAAATAAGGTATGAGCAAGGGAAAAAGACAATCATGGAGAAATAGAACTAGAATAACAGCTACATGTCAATATGATGTCTACCGTTCGATTCCCTCCAATATCGGTTATAGAAAATAAAAATATATTTAAAAAAAACCTATGCTAATTGGCAATATCCATAGTGCCCTTTTGCCAACCTCAGGCAATCACATAATTGATTCACTTGGCTCATTTGGTCTAGTCTAGGTGATCACACTGCATCTCCAGCCCTGCTATCATTTGTCATGCTCTCTGTTGACTGATTCTCCTCAGCTTCAGAACTCTTCTTTGTGTCCTTTGTTTTCAATTGACTGTCACTTGCTACAATGTCATTTACTGCAACCACATTTGGTATCTGATTGAGGCTAAATTCTGGTAATATAGATTTCTTTGAGTTCTTGAACATCAGATACATAATCATCTGCGCTAACCCGAATGCGAAACCGAGGATGTTTGGTGCCTAAACATGAAAGAAAACAAGGCAGATATATTTAAAACTTGGACAAATTATATTGCATTATATATTGTGTTTCTGCATGTATATATAATGGCAAGTTTTACCGCTATGAACAAATCCCTCACTAGAAGGCCATAGAAGAACCACATTACAGCACAGAGAGTTAAGCAGAATGACAAAGGGAAGGACATGAACTCCACACTCCTCGTTCTAATAACTAGCCTCTGAAAATTATAGCAGGGGTTAATCAATTGTGTGTTTAGATCTGTCAAGAATATAATGTTTGATTTGGCATGAAATAAATAAGCAATATTGTTACCATTATACTCAGAGGAGCAGCAAACACACAGACAGAGAACACAACACTAATCCACCCAACAACTTTAATCCGCAGAAAATGATTTGGAATTAGGTAGGTGCTCAATATGATCACGCCATAAACCCCCGCATTAAACAGGACAAGAAGCTTTGCTGTGTAAATCTGCAAAACCATAAAAAATTAAAGATGAACAAGAAATGAATATATTATAGGTAGAGAGAAGAGAGAGCATTATAAATTTAGAAAGTATGTACCCTGGTTTTTGCTGGTGCATAAATTATGTACATTACAAGGAAACTGGTTTCGATGATACAACCAACGGAGTTGATGGTGATGAGCATAAAAGCATTGGTCTTGAGGAAGGCATAGTAGAGCATCAGCATGGCGCTAAACAGAGCCACCGAATAAGGTATGGATTGGAACCCTTCTGTAGATTTTTTCTTGAAAATTCTATAAAATGTTGGCCTATAAAATAAAATTGAAGGCAATGAAAAAAGTTAGGTACCAATTACAGATGATGCATGAGAGAGAGAGAGAGAGAGAGAGAGAGAGAGAGAGATTACAGTGGTGCTAGGTACACCATGAAGGCCACGATGTTACCTGTGAAAATGAAAAACAGAGGACGAGAGAGAATTTAGAATTGAAAACCAAGTGAAATTTGAAAAGAAAAAGGAACCCAATTATTAATACAGGGGGGTTGGTTAGAGGAGGTAGAAGAACTAAGTAGCTAGGGTACCTAGAATGCCAAAAACAGAGGCCAAGAGGAAAGCATCAGGGGCTGCCATTCTTGGGGGTGAAGCTCTTTTAACTAAGGAGTGTGTGAGGATTTGAGGGCACTCCAAAGAATCAAAGAGCTTGCTCTAATTGTTGCTTTGTGTGCCTTTATGTAGGAGAGCAGAAGGGGAGAAAAAGACCAAAGAAAAAGAAAAGAAGAAGAAAGAAACAGAGTTGAGCTAGCTATGAACAAACTGTATATTTGATGTCTTGTGGGCAAAGAATTAATGAGCTTCCTCCTCGAACCCTTCAAGCTGATATCACTAGTTTTGATTTTGAATTGGGAAAAATGAGCTGCTAGCCTATCCTAGCCTATCCTAGCCTATCCTAGCCTAGCTAGCTAATAGCTTGAGCCATTAGGTTACGTGAAGCAAAGGTTGAGCAAAATGGATATCTCATAGGGCCGTTACGTTTAAAGGGCTTTATGCAAATGTATTTTCAAGTATTGTACGCAGAATATGCAGTGTGTGTGTGTGTGTGTTTATAAAGCTTTTGGTTGCCTGCCAATAGCTTACTCTACTGTCTTCTTCTTTTTACACATGTTTTTCTTCCCCTAGGTAATCACAATCAATGAGGACAACTACAAGCAATTAGCCACAAGATTAAGACACTCTGCAGAAGCTTAATTAGCTTAGTAACTGAAGGGTAACCATAATTACGTGTGAATAAATTGCCCGCCACATTGAGATTTGCAGTTATAAATGAAGTCTTAGTCATCCTCTGCTCCGTACTGGATGTTGAAAGAACCAGCGAGCACCACTCGCTCGGTGCTTGCCAGACAACGATGCTACTTAAATGGAAAAGGCAGAAATGTGAAGCAATTATCAGCGATTAATTATGCCTTTCTTTCTAGGACCTGGCAAGCTTAGCTTTGTACCAATTTATTTTCGCTTCAACTTTTGTGAGCGGCCATGCATGCTATGCTTGTACACTTGTTTAGGCTCCTTGCGTGTTCAGTTATGGGCATTGGGCATACTTCATATGATATCTCCTTCATTCTTCTCTTCTGTGGTCAAGTTAATTTTCAAATATGCATGTATGTGTGTGTGTGTGTGTATGCGTATAAATATACTTTTCTTACACTTTTCGCTTATGGATTGGTCTTTCTTGATTTTCTTTGTAACCTAGTGCATATGCAGTGGCCCTGGAACAAACTGAAATTGCATAGAAGAAAGTGTATATCTTTCTGTTTCTCATCTTTTTAGTTTGTTATGAAATGCAAAGTTTTTTTATTTATTATTTCTTTTGTGGAGAAAATACTCCAATTAGCTAGAACTACACTTGTTGGTTTTAGCAAGCAAGTTTGAGTTGAAATTTTTTATCGGATATTTCTTTATAAGTAGTCTTGGCAATTTAACTAGATTGGTTTGGATTGAGCCACATGGTGGAGCAAGCGTGAGCTCGACCTTCTGTTGACTTGGGCTGATCGGTTTTAAACTAGTTTTTGCCCAAACAAAACCTAACCTTAGTAATATATTATCAATCAAAATCTCTTCTAAGAATTGCAATAGTTTGGTTTGTTTAAGACAAAGAGAAAAGGCAAATGTAGGCGACTTTCATAAGTTGGTGGGTCTACACTACACATAGCAAACCAACTTTGTTTGAGCAGGAATATGAATATTACTTGCAAGTTTTATGATATAACTTGAAATTCAAATGCTGTTAATTAGTGTAGAGGACAAAAACAAATTCCATTTGTCATTGAAAAAATAATAATTTCCATTGAACATACATGCATTTTCCAAATACATTTATTTATTTATATGCATCAATTTAGTACAGAAATGAAAGGACGAACCTTTTTTAAGTAAATTTGCTTATGTGGTAACGGCTCATAGGGAAATTGTTTTTATTTTGTATTTAATTTTTTATAGGGAAATTTAAAGTAAATAAGCTGCTCATATAGAAAAGTATTATATATACATAGAAGGGTTTAATCATATAGACAACAAATATATTACCATACTGGGCTAAATTTAATTCCCCAGCTAAGGCCATATATATCATGTACGTACTATAAAAACCAGCAACCACTATGAGGAATTGCAACAACTAGCTATGAGGCAGATAATGGCAGCAATAATATTGCAATGCATCCTATCACTTGGCTTCTTCCTTGCTTGCGTTTGCGTTAATGCCGCAGGGAAATCAAATGGCTTGACCATGGAACTCATCCATGTCGACTCCCCGGCATCACCTCTCTATCCGGGCAATATTTCTTATGAAGAAGAAATCCAAAGACTCATAGATCGATCCATTGCCCGAGCTCAACACCTTCATTACACCTTAGCATCCCTCGGCAACAATAATGTGTCACAAACTATAATCAACCCTCTTGACATTCGTCCGAAACTCGAATTTCACCCTTACGGCTCCTACCTTGTACAAGTTGGGATTGGGACTTTTGATGCACCTTTCCCGGCAAGGTCATTCAATACATACTACTTGTACACCGACACTGGAAGCACCCTCACATGGGCGCTGTGCGAGGATTGTCTCAAGCCTGGAAACAAATGCTTTCAAACCAAAGAACCCCCTTTCCCTAACAGCAAGTCCAAATCTTATGTTGCTCTCTGTTGCAATCAAAACCCGTTTTGCAAGACAGGCCAATGCACCGGTCCTTACTGCTCCCAGCACGATGAGTACATGGGCGGCACCGTTGTCAATTCTATTCTTTCAGGCATGAATATCTTAATCTTTTTAGTATTAATTCTCGAAAAATATCGCAACTAACTAATAAATGACAACTGGTTGCTTTGCATGCGCAGCTGAAGATTTCAACTTTTTGTCAAGCAGTGGGCAGCCACTGATGATTCCAGGCGTAGTGTTTGGTTGTGCTTATGACGCCAGGAAAATCAGTTTTGGAAGGCTGGAAGAGTTCAAGGTTGCAGGAATATTGGGTTTGGGATATGCTCCGATTTCCTTTCCACTGCAACAATCCTATCAAACTGGTAAAGTATTCTCAATGTGCCTAACACGCCGAAGAGAGATCCAAACATATCTCAGATTTGGTAAGGACGTCCCCACACCACCAGGTGGTCTGCGTGTCACCAAATTAGTGTTGTTCAAAGACATACCATATTACTACGTCAATCTGTTGGGCATAAGTGTGCATGGACAACAGCTTCTCATAGACCCAAATGTGTTTGCTGTACGAAATCAGGGCACAAGTGGCGGCTGCTTCATGGACAATGGTAGCTCATTTACTTTTCTCATCAGGCCTGCTTTTAATGCTGTGGTTCAGTTTCTGGGGATGTATTTCATGCGCTTTCCTCGCTTTTTAAGGGGTGGTAGGCCTCTTGGCCCCCCTTTTGAATTTTGCTACAAATGGATGACGCCGTTGCCACCTCTGCCTACTTTGACATTTCACTTTGAAAATGCTGACCTTGTGATCAACCCAGAGGACTTATTCATAAAGTCGAATGCTGCTCAGCAGGGGAACTATCTCTTATGTTTGGCCTTCATCGCCGACGATGCTCGTACTATTCTTGGATCAGTGCACCAATCCAATTACTTATTCATATATGACCTTAACCAGAAGCTGTTGAAGTTTGCTCCTGAGGATTGTTCTAAGAATTCTTGATCACCTCAAGCTTGATAGATCATGTAATCTCTCTTTCATTATCATTCCATCCATGTGCTCTTTTTTCGTTCAAAATAATTAGTTCTTTTGCAACCTTATAGATTTTTAAAAATGTTTTAATCACCTCAAGCTTGATATGATTCACTACCACCACCATGTCATGACTATCATTGCCACTCGCCACCATGTCACCACCACCACAACTAACTTGTCATGGCCAATTACTCCCACCGCCATTGTCGCCACAAACAATCAACCTAACTCTAATGTATTGATAGGCACAGTAAAAATTTTGCGAGAAATGAATCACACGACACAACATCATAACACAATATCGATAGGCACAATAAAGACTAATATACCTACTACTAAAATCATTTACCTATAGTTTCAAGTATGGAAATTGACATTAAATTGACATTAAGTATCACACAAAATGATAGGTAAATTATTATCCATAAAAAGAGATAAATTATTATTCATAAAAGATAATAGGTATATTATTATCCATAAAATAATAGGTACAGTAGAAAATTAATAGGTATATATTATCAATCATGAAAAAGAAACAAATAGATATGTTGATTTTAAAAAAAATATATATATCATGAAATAGGTAAATTATTATGAGTGCTGCTAAATGAACCCTAAAATTAACTGAGTACACTCTGCTACCAAACTATTTATTGAATTACTAATTTATCCTAATATAAAATGACCAAAATGGATATATTGAATTTTTAAACCAATTATTTTAATAAGTACATCCTATTCACCATATTCAACTCTAATCAAATGTAAGAGAATGCCATGAAGTTGTTTGTTTGATATACAAATCTTGGTCACTGGTGGTAGATGCTCCATGGAGTCCACTCCGATAGGTTCTTTAAGGGGTTATGGATGATTCATACGAGGAGGAAAAATAATAAATAATTTATTGGATGAAAGTTGAGTCCTTCAAACTTAGAACATTCTCTTGGTTTCATTTTTCTTTTTTTATAATCATTATTTGGTTCTGGAACTACAAAAAGGAAGAAGGAAGGGTAATTAAAAATAGGGACCTACGGAACAGATTTAGACGACCAGTTTGAGCATTGGCTGCCTATGTAGAAATTTCAAAGGGTAGTAGGTTAATTTTAAATTCATCCAGTAATAACTAGAGATCGGAAAATAAATCCAAAACAACTTACAATGGTTGTAATATCTTCAACAAAATCATCTCTAGCTGCAGAGGAGGCATTAGGTTTGGTGTTGTGTGATAGAGTGTATAGGGGTATTTTTGATAATTAAATGGGGTGTGCTTAGTTAATTTTATATTTTAATTTAAATAATAGGGCGTACTTAGATTATAGGTTGTACTAAGTTAATTTTAGGGTTCGTTTAGCAGCACTCATTATTATTCAAAAAATTTAAAAATCAAGTAACCAATAAATCAAATGTTAAAATAAAGATTAGTTGCGTTAAAATATTAGGAGATAAAACATGAAAAGCATAGGTAAAAACATGACTTTTTTCTATTTTAATGCCAATAAAAGAAGATAAAAACTTACTAACCAATCAACTTTATGCTAATCACCATTTGAAATTTAAAAATTTAATGAAATGGATAGACATGTATGGCAATTGAATTGCATAAACAAAATTTGGGTGGGATCCTTTCTAATGGATGATTTGTTAAGGGTGCCCAGAACCTGTGCGAAAGTCGTTTTGAAGGTTGTATTTTATTTTGTGTTTTTTGTTTTAGGGTTTGGCCCCCCCAATTAACCCCCCCCCCCCCCCCCCCAAAAAAAATCACATGAACGGTAAGTAGGGATAATTTAGGTGTATGAAAAATATTAAAACCTTGATTAGGTAAGTAGCTTAGTTGGATCCTAATCACTTGACTTTAGCCAAAGAAACATATTTTGATGGGTTGCGGACTAGGAAAAATGAATTTGAGGGTGAAACCCCAAATTTTCTATTTTATTTTTCCAAACTAGGGGTTAGAAGTTCCATTATCTCTGTCCTGTGTCCTCCCTCTCCTCGATCCTCTCTCTATAGTCTCTTCCAAATCCCACCACCAGAAATTATTCTCTTTCCTCATTGACATCGGGCTAGTACTTGCCCAATATACCTCACCTCACTCACCGTCTGGACCTACCCCAAATATCATTGACCAGAAAAAATGATAATATCCTCGATATTTCGTTGATATTATCGATATTTTAGACTATAGTCACAATGCACAACAAAACAAAGTAAAAAGAGATCAAATAGCAATTATAAGCTATTAGCAATTTGGCATTGGTTAAGATTTGGATTTAATTAGCTGAACCTGATTATGATCAAACTTGAAATTCAAATGCTGTTAATTAGTGTAGAGGACAAAAACAAATTCCATTTGTCATTTAAAAAAAAAAAATTTCCATTGAACAAATATAAGGAAACAGTTGACAGAACGGTTGGTACTTTCCCTCATAATAATGCACACAGTGGCGGAGACACTTCTAAGCCTGGAGTAGCCCTGGCCCAACACCCCCAATATGTATATATATATATATATTATCTCTCTACTATTATATTATATATAACATATAGAATTAGTACTAAACAACTTATAATTGAAATTAAAATTTCCTCTAAAATAAATTAGACATGAATAAATTAGAAATATTTAGCTCTAGACATATAACTATTGAATACTTCAGTATTTTCCGGACCCCCTAACTTTACAATTCTAGCTCTGCCCTTGATTGCACATACATGCATTTTCCAAAGACATTTATTTATTTATATGCATCAATTTAGTACAGAAATGAAAGGACGAACCTTTTTAGTAAATTTTGCTCATGTGGTAACGGCTCATAGGGTAATTTTTTTAATTTTTAATTTTATTTTTGATTGGAAAATTTAAGGTAAATAAGCTGCTCATACAGAAATGCAGGCTACAATTACCATACTGGGCTAAATTTAATTCCCCAGCTAAGGCCATATATATCATGTACGTACTATAAAAACCAGCAACCACTATGAGGAATTGCAACAACTAGCTATGAGGCAGATAATGGCAGCAATAATATTGCAATGCATCCTATCACTTGGCTTCTTCCTTGCTTGCGTTTGCGTTAATGCCGCAGGGAAACCAAATGGCTTGACCATGGAACTCATCCATGTGGACTCGCCGGCATCACCTCTCTATCCAGGCAATATTTCTTATGAAGAAGAAATCCAAAGACTCATAGACCGATCCATTGCCCGAGCTCAACACCATCATTACACCTTGGCATCCCTCGGCAACAATAATGTGTCACAAACTATAATCAACCCTCTTGACATTCGTCCGAAACTCGAATTTTACCCTTACGGCTCTTACCTTGTACAAGTTGGGATTGGGACTTTTGATGCAACTTTCCCTGCAAGGTCATTCAATACATACTACTTGTACACCGACACTGGAAGCATACTCACATGGGTGCTGTGCGAGGATTGTCTCAAGCCTGGAAACCAATGCTTTCAAACCAAAGAACCCCCTTTCCCTAACAGCAAGTCCAAATCTTATGTTGCTCTCTGTTGCAATCAAAACCCGTTTTGCAAGACAGGCCAATGCACCGGTCCTTACTGCTCCCAGCACGATGAGTACATGGACGGCACCGTTGTCAATTCTATTCTTTCAGGCATGAATATCTTAATCTTTTTATTAAATTTGGCTTAAACCCTTCAAATTCAATGTGCCGTACTTAAAACCCTTCACTTTTTGTTCTTTATTTTAAGAAATTTTTATTGATAGATATCTTTATTGATCAGTAATAATAATGCCTCTCATTTTTATTTTGTATATACAAAAATATTAAAAATAATACCCAATTTGTATAAGTAAAAACCCATAACTAGGATCCAACTCAGCAAGTTACCTAATTAAGCATAAAATCTGATTTATTGTACTTTTCAGATTCCAAAAATACTCCCAACTAAGCCATTATTGCATTTTGTATATTAATGTAGGAATCAATATGGAAACAGTTTTTAATTGGATTGTATATATAATGACAGATGTTGAATTTGGAAAGATCTCCAAATGGTTGTAATGGATGTAGGAATTAATTTTGAAACATTTTTAAAAAAATTTAACAATAAATTCAAATTTAGGTAATCGGTTTGTTTAATAAAATGTTTATGTTATTTTCTTTTTTATGAATTATACATGACTAATAATCCACTTTATAATTGTTTATGAATAAAACTGTACATACTAATTATGTTGAAAAAATAATGTACCTATTACTTGTTTGTTTTATGAAAAACATAATTTACCTAGTATGAAAAGTGTACATAATTATCTATTCCAAATAATGTACCTATACACATTTACAGGAATATTGTAAAATAATTTACCTGTGGGTAAATAATGTACCTATATTTTATATAAATTATTGTGTACCTAGTTTTAATTATGAAAAATCTACGCAATTACAAAGTAACTGACTTTGTTTTTTTTTTGGGGGGTAAATAATATACCTATAATATGTATATATTTATATTATATTTTTCACAGGTACATTATTGGATATGTAATTTACAGAATTTTTTTTTTTTTGTTGTAATTTTAGGGGGCTATATGTGAGAGGGAATGACAACTAAAATAAATGGGGTGATTGATATGCTATTAATAGGGAGTATATTAATTACAATTATGACAGTTAATGAAATGCTTGAAATAAATTATAAATAAAATATGAAGTTTGGTGGCAATGATGTAAAAACATATAAATACTACGACCTCTTATATCCTACTAGTCATTTAAATTTGAAATTGGGCTTTACACATAGATTTATAAAGTGATGGGTATATGTTTAAGAAATAGAAAATGTAGAGATCTATATTGGACAAGCCCTAATCTTTTTAGTATTAATTCTCGAAATTATCGCAACTAACTAATAAATGACAACTGGTTGCTTTGCATGCGCAGCTGAAAATTTCAACTTTTTGTCAAGCAGTGGGCAGCCACTGATGATTCCAGGCGTAGTGTTTGGTTGTGCTTATGACATCAGGAAAATCAGTTTTGGAAGACTGGAAGAGTTCAAGGTTGCAGGACTATTGGGTTTGGGATATGCTCCGATTTCCTTTCCACTGCAACAATCCTATCAAACTGGTAAAGTATTCTCAATGTGCCTAACACGCCGAAGAGAGATCCAAACATATCTCAGATTTGGTAAGGACGTCCCCACACCACCAGGTGGTCTGCGTGTCACCAAATTAGTGTTGTTCAAAGACATACCATATTACTACGTCAATCTGTTGGGCATAAGTGTGCATGGGCAACAGCTTCTCATAGACCCAAATGTGTTTGCTGTACGAAATCAGGGCACAAGTGGCGGCTGCTTCATGGACAATGGTAGCTCATTTACTGTTCTCATCAGGCCTGCTTTTAATGCTGTGGTTCAGTTTCTGGGGATGTATTTCATGCGCTTTCCTCGCCTTTTTAGGGGTGGTAGGCCTCTTGGCCCCCCTTTTGAACTTTGCTACAAATGGATGACGCCGTTGCCACCTCTGCCTACTTTGACATTTCACTTTGAAAATGCTGACCTTGTGATCAACCCAGAGGACTTATTCATAAAGGTGAAGGCTGATCAGCAGGGGAACGATCTCTTTTGTTTGGCCTTCATCGCCGACGATGCTCGTACTATTCTTGGATCAGTGCACCAATCCAATTACTTATTCATATATGACCTTAACCAGAAGCTGTTGAAGTTTGCTCCTGAGGATTGTTCTAAGAATTCTTGATCACCTCAAGCTTGATAGATCATGTAATCTCTCTTTCATTATCATTCCATCCATGTGCTCTTTTTTCGTTCAAAATAATTAGTTCTTTTGCAACCTTATAGATTTTTAAAAATGTTTTAATCACCTCAAGCTTGATATGATTCATTACCACCACCATGTCATGACTATCATTGCCACTCGCCACCATGTCACCACCACCACAACTAACTTGTCATGGCCAATTACTCCCACCACCATTGTCGCCACAAACAATCAACCTAACTCTAATGTATTGATAGGCAGAGTAAAATTTTTGCGAGAAATGAATCACACAACACCATAACACAATATCGATAGGCACAATAAAGACTAATATACCTACTACTAAAATTATTTACCTATAGTTTCAAGTATGGAAACTGACATTAAGTATCACAAAAAATGATAGGTAAATTATTATCCATAAAAAGAGATAAATTATTATTCATAAAAGATAATAGGTATATTATAGGTACAGTAGAAAATTAATAGGTATATTATCATTCAAGAAAAAGAAACAAATAGATATGTTGATTTAAAAAATAAATAAATCAATCATGAAATAGGTAAATTATTGTTCAAAAAATTTAAAAATCAAGTAACCAATAAATCAAATGTTAAAATAAAGATTAGTTGCATTAAAATATTAGGAGATAACACATAAAAAGCATAAGTAAAAACATGACTTTTTTCTATTTTAATGCCAAAAAAAGAAGAGAAAAACTTACTAACAAATCAACTTTATGCTAATCACCATTTGAAATTTAAAAATTTAATGAAATGGATAGACATGTATGGCAATTGAATTGCGTAAACAAAATATGCTGAAAATAAACTCAACACAATAAATGGAGACAACTCTCCTTAAATATCACATGAACAGTTTGATTATTGTGTCTTCCATCACATTTACAGAGAGACGAATGGGGTGGCTAACTGTTTCGCCATATGGAGTTACAACATGGACTTGGGTCTATATACTTTTGATCATGTGCCTACTTGGGTGGGATCCTTTCTAATGGATGATTTGTTAAGGGTGCCCAGAACCTGTGCGATTTGTCCTAATTCTGTTCAGTTTTTCTTTCTGGGGCTCCGCCCCCCCCCCCCCCCCCCCCCATTTTACCCCAAAAAATAAAAAAATCACATGAACAGTAAGTGGGGGTAATTTAGCAACATTTTCTTGATAAAGAAACCTGTCTAAACAAAATTAAATTGAAAAAAAAAAAAAAACCAATGGTGTACATTATTGTAGAGAATATAGAGATCAAAGAAATTTTTGGTACGTTCAGGATCAGCCAGTAGGTTTGGATTTCAATTTGTTTAACAGTTTTAGTTGTAGATTAGATTTAAAAACAATCACTGAATATAAGTAAAAGAGTTGCAATCATTTTTTATATTTGCTAATGTGGTGGCTACTGCTCATTTGGGAATTTAAGGTAGAAACAGAAACTGCTCATATGGAAAAGCATATCATCATTTTCCCTTAGAAGGGTTTATCAGACCAGCAAATATATATGCAGGCATATATATCATATACTATAAAAGCAGCAAGCCCTTCGAGGAATTGCAAAAACCATGAGGCAGATAATGGCAGCATTTCATCATGTTCTTTGCTTCCTATCACTTAGCTTCTTGCTTGCTTGTGTTAATGCCGCCGGGAAGCCAAATGGTTTGACCATGGAACTTGTCCACGTTGACTCGCCGGCATCGCCTCTCTATCCTGGCAACATTTCTTATGAAGAAGAAATTCAAAGACTCGTACACCGATCCAATGCCCGAGCTCAATACCTACGCACGTTGGCATCTGTTTCCCTCAACAACCATAACAATATGTCACAAACTGTAAACCCTCTTGATATTCGTCCGAAACTCGAATTTTATCCTTTTGGCTCTTACCTTGTACAAGCTGGCATAGGGACTTTTGATGCACCTTTCCCGGCAAGGCCGTTCAAAACACTCTACTTGTACATTGACACTGGAAGCAGCCTCTTATGGGTGCTGTGTGAGGATTGTAAAAAGCCTGGAAACCAATGCTTTCAAACCAGGGAACCTCCTTTCCCTAACAGCCAGTCCAAATCTTATATCCCTCTCTGTTGCAATCAGCACCCCTTTTGCAAGCCAAACGAATGCGTCGGTCCCTACTGCTCCCAGCACATTGAGTACGCGGGCGGCCACGTTGTCAATTCCATTCTTTCAGGCATGATCATTTATTCTAAAAAAAGTTTCCAATATTTGTTATAATATTACATACATAGAACATTCTTCTGATAAATATCTTTATTATATTAGATAGGGCACCAATCACTACTCCAATTATCGCAACTAATGTGAGACATAACATCGATGAAAATTCGATATTGATATAACTTGTGATTTGGTTGCATTTGAAAATTTCAACTTGTTGTCAAGCAGTGGGCAGCCGCAGCCGGTTCCAGGCGTAGTGTTTGGTTGTGCTTATGACACCAGAAGAATGAATTTTGGTAGGCAGGAAGACTTCAAGGTTTCCGGACTATTGGGTTTGGGATATGCTCCCAGTTCCTTTCCAGTGCAACAAAACTATCTTACTGGTGGAGTATTCTCACACTGCCTAACACGCCGAAGAGATGTTCAAACATTTCTCAGATTTGGTAGAGACATCCCCACACCACCAGGCGGTCTGCGTGTCACGAGATTAGTGCTTTTCAAAGAAGTACCATTATACTACTTGAATCTGTTGGGCATAAGTGTGCATGGACAGGAGCTTCTCATAGATCCGTTGGTGTTTGCTATACGAAATCAGGGCACAGCAGGAGGGTGTATCATGGACAATGGTTCCTCATTTACTTTTCTCATCACGCCTGCTTTTAAGGCTCTGGTTCAGTTTCTGGAGATGTATTTTATGCGCTATCCTCGCTTATTTAAGTCTCCTGGTCCTCGTTCACCCTCGTTTGAACTTTGCTATAAATGGTCGACGCCGCCGCCAGTTGAGGTGCAGCTGCCAACATTGACATTTCACTTTGAAAATGCTGACCTTGAGGTAAAGCCGCCGGAGGCATTCATAACGGCGAAGATTGATGCGCAGGGGAATGAGGCTTTGTGTTTGGCGTTCCTGCGAGACGATGAGCGTACTCTCTTTGGATCATTCCAGCAATCGAATTACAGATTCATATATGACCTTAACAGGTGGCAGTTGAAGTTTGCTCCTGAGGATTGTGCTAAGAATTCTTAATCAGCTCAAGCTTGATAGATCATGTATCTCTTTCTATCCATCCACATGTTCTTTTTGGTTGAAAATAATTAGTTCTCTTCAATGGCTTTGCAACTTTTTAGATTTCTTTCATGATTTAATCACCTAGTATATTTTTCCTCCTTTTGTCGGAGCTGGATCCTCTCATTTTGTGGAAGATGTTCAAGATTTTCAGCGTTTGCACATCTCAGGGCAAAGATATATCCAAGCCAATTTGCAATTCAATGATTTCAGCACAATATCAATCTCCCTACGTATGACTATATGCAGCATTAAGACTATAGACCACGCCCATGTTTTTCTACTTTCATCTTCTATGAATGAGCATATCTGATACGCCCAAATGTAACTTAAACACACGTACGCATGCACGCACAAAAAAAATACGAAAACTTGAAGAAAAGTATGGATATTCAAACATGAAATTCCATCCATGGCCCATAAAATTAAACACATGTATAAAGACCACAGTAACCTAACTGAGTTCCTGTCATAACTAACTTAACACAGCAGAAAAAGAGGTTAAGTTGAACATGATGAGATGCTTTGTACATCACAGTTATCCAAATACAAGATTTTACATTTACTTTTTCTTTCAGAAACAAGCAACCAAATGATCCAAGCTATAATTTCAAAAGCTCTGAATACAAGATTAATAATAAATAATTCCTAGCAAAGCAAAAATGTCATATTTTCTCAGGACCGCATACCGATGTTTCAATGGCTCCTAGCAAAGCAAAATGTCGCAAATTCTGTCTTGAGCTATTCCTCATCTGATTGTCAAAGCTGTTGAATACTTATGCCATTATACAAAATTAAAGGCGGATGCCAAGGAAAATATATAAGAACAGGAAAGTGTGTTCATAGCCCTTGCTCCCATTCACTTCTACCGGGAAGAAGAAGAAGATGTGTGAATAGGAGGACATCAAAGTGTGCTGTAACTGTCTTATTTCCTTACCATTCTCCTCAGTGATCCATCTTCGCAAAACGTCCTTTAATTCTCGTCCTGCTTTCTGCCCGAACCTTCCGCGATTCGTACCTGATGTGCTTCTCATACCTGGTCATTGTTTCCAAGTAAACATACGTCACATACCAAAGTCCAAAGATGCTGACATGATAACATTCATGACAGGCCAAGCAGAAAAGGAGGTGCACAAATAAGTTAGGCTGATAAATACACCACAACCGCCACTTGATGCAAATAATATCAGATTAGGCTCACAAGTGATAATGATAATAAAGAATTTATAAACTTCCCTCCAATTCTGAACTTCTCCATCAATCACTAACAACCTCAACAGGATTTCAAGTATATATAAAAGAAAGACCTCAGTTACTAATATAAATTTTGAAATGATAAACATATAAATTTCAGAATCTCATTGGCATGAAACGAACTTTGCAATCCTATCAAGTCAAATTTTTTAAACTTAGAAGAGATACTTGTGGCAAATGGGGGTGTAAAACCTTCTTGTTTTCTTCTTCTCCTTGTACCGCGAGAGAGCAGTCTCTCTGTTTTGGCTACTTAACTCATGTGCAGCAACTTTGGGAAAAGCTGAGGAGGCTTCAGAATTCATTTGCCCTCCATGACCATGACCATCATTATGTGAATGTTTATCAGGAACTACACAACATTCCTGAAGGTAGCTCCTTATAAATGTTTTAGGAGAAGATTCTCGCTTTTCGGCTGTGCCACAATCGTTATACTGAAAATCATGTGCCTGCATGAAAGGAACACACTTGATCATTTTTCAAATTCAATCTGCAGGCACTAACATTGACACAAGAGAAGCATACCTCATAGGCAGGAAATACAGTTGGCTCTGCATCATGCTCAAAACCGGTAAACAAACTTCCTTGTTGCATGTTTTGTTCAGAAGCTAGGGACTTAAGGGGTTTAACATCCACATTTTCGCTAAACAAGTTGGGTTCTGACTTGACAAGCACACGAAGCTGACGAAATATTTCTTCCTTGTGTCGACCACAAGCAGCATTGCGATTCTGATTCAACAACAATATCCCGAACCAAGTCAAATTGCAATAAATAATAGACGATTTCAACAGTATACACAAGCGCAAAGAAACCCTTCTTCCAAATTTTTAAATCATATTCTTCAAAAATAGTAATGAAGCAAAGGGAGTGAGAACTAAAGGATTCTTTATTGTTTTTTATTTATTTGAGCAGAAACTGAATTTTTACCAGGAACCTTGAGAGGAAAAACAAAAAAGAAATCCAGAAATATTACTTGAAAGAAATCACTTCTTTTAGTAGACGAGCAAAGCATCAAGACTAACACCATATTGAACAGAGGAAAAGAGCAATATAGAACATTTGTTTCTTTTTTCTTTTTAATGAAAACATAAGACCTTCACTAATAAAAAAATTGTTAGAAAATTAAAGTCATTTCCTTTATATCTTAAAGAAACAAAGAGAATTGCGAATAAAAGAAACAACTATAAGAAAGTTATAAAATAAAATAAAAAGGTACATACCTTAGGCAGAGGAGGAACCCCCATAGCCTGAAATTTGTAAGCCGGATTGCTAACAATCAAATCGTCAAGACTAACAACAGAGGGAGTGTCCCAAACCAAAAAATCCGAAAACCCATCATCCAAATCGAAAGACCCATCAACCCCACAACCCAAAAACCCATCACCTCCTCCTCCACCACCACCGCTCTCATCACCCAAAAGCAGAGCCTTTTTATCCATATTCTCAAACCCAACAACTGTAAGCAACTCATTCAAACAAGGGCACCCACTGAACCCTTCCAGAGGCCTCCTGTCGTGCACCGACGACGAGGAAAGGTTGTGGCTTTCCCAGTCACAGTTCTGGCACAGAACAGAGCTCTCGGTTGTGCAGAAGATGGAGGCAGGGGAACCGTCACAGGCGTCACAGAGCAGTGACCGAGTGTGCTTGGAGAAAAGCTGATTGGCCGAGTGGACCTCACGGTCGCACGAGAAGCAGAGCTTGGCTGAGTCGGCTCTGCAGTATAGCAGAGCCATTGAGCTTCCACAATAATCACAGAGACGCTTTTGGTGCTCTCGTTCTGGTTGTGGCGCCTCAGCTTCTTCATTTCTTGAAGAACCATTCATTTCTTGCTCTGTGTGTTTCTGTGGCTTCTGGGTTTGCAAATATCTGTATGAATGAATGAATGAATCTCTCTCTTCTTCTTTTTCTGTTTTCTTATTTTCTTCTAAATATCAGAGATATTGGTGTGGCTTTGAAACAGGGCTGGGAGAATTGAATATGAGAAAGAGGAAGATCTTATCATTACTTGATGAACACGAACAATCTTAAAGACGGTTTGTTGATTTTTGTCGGCTTTCCACAAAGATAGGAAAGTGATGTTTTACCTTTGGTTAACACTCGCAGAGACTTTGCAGTTGAGACTATTATTTGCTCTGAAAAAGGTTGAATTTGGAACTTGCTAGTTGCTAGCAGCAGGGCAAGGGCCAAGGCAGATGAAAGTGAAATTTTGGCGGTGACGTCTCCTCCATAGCATTTTTGTGTGGACTGCGAATAAAAGAGAAGATAATAAAAGCTCAACAATATTCACGTTCCCTTCGAACTTCAAAGTTGCTAAGCTATGGTGGCTGACCTTTCCATGTAGATGGTCTACATTTACTTTAAAAGTTCGGAAAAAGTTCCAAAAGAACTAATAAAAAATTAAACAAATCATAAAATAACGAGTAATCTCTATCCTTCTTAATAGAAATCCTATCAATGAGAAATTATAAAATATTACGGTAGTATGATCACATGGTATTTTATAATCACCCATATTCAACAAAGCGCTTTCTGTTGTTTAAAAACAAAAGGAAACCCTTCTTTTGAGAAGTTATTTGGTGTAGCTCTCTCAAACTACAATTTACCTTTTAATTAATTTAAATTAAAAAAACCTTTTTGTTAAGGGTCTCAAACTAAAAAGAGCTACAAATTTAGGTGAGGCATTGATGATGTCATTAATCCAATGTACGACCTCATTAATCTCTAGATGGTTCTTGATGTTTGCTAACAAAATGATGATGTGTTGTTATAAGAAGTCTCATGAATGGGATGGGATGGGCCCCTCCAACATATCATAAAGTTGAAGACGGAATCTGGGCACATCCATAATCTAGGCCCTCCATAAGTTTGGTCCAGATTCAATATATGATAGGGGAACCAATTTGTAAATGAAAATTAATGCGAGGGAGGAGAGAGATCAATTTTCCTAGCTTGCATTTCAAGTTCTCAACCCGTAATCTGGGTCAGCAGCAGTCAGCTTAACACAAAAGTGATGTTTTTTTCTTTCTTCAATTGATTTCTTTCTGTGAGGCAGCCCTACCACCTGTCCAGTTCGGTTTTGTCGACACTACTTGATGCCATAAACCAATAGCTAACATGACAGGTCAGGCAGCAATTTTTAGTTTTAACACACAGAGCCCGGCAGAAACCAGTTGCCTTTTTATAACTAAGAAGACATGCAGCTGTGCTTTGTCATGACAAAGCTGCTGCCTCCTCATGAAGTTCACTCAGCAAAAAAGAGAATTCACGAGGCGAGCATGACAAACTGCCCAACTTATCACAAGAATACTTGGCCTGCACCATTTCTTGTTCTTTAATTGTATTGTGCCACAAAAATACAAATGAGGGAGGTTTTTTCCCGGTCTTTCTTTCGTGCTGTGTTTGTGAAGAAAATAAAGGAAAAAGGGCATAGCAATGTGGCGCAGAGAGAGAGCGAGAGAGAGATCGATTCTGTTCTCACTTGGACAATAAGTCCATGAGTTGGTATAAATTGGATGAACCAATGGAAGCTAGTCAATTACAGCAGCTGTGCATTCTTTCATACACTTGGCGTACAAGAAGCACAGGTACAATAGAAGAGGACTATTCTAGTCAAAACAACGCCAAGCATAGACAAAAAAGTCTAATGTGAATTGGCGTAGCCTTGCATATTCAATAAAACTTGTAATCAATAGTCATTGATGATCTGCAGCTGAAATTCTTCGGGTGTTATATGAATCGCAGTTGCGGCACTTGAGCCCAAAAATGTGAAAGGGAGCGTTGCTAGTTGTGTTGCAATCGTTGCAAAGAATTGATACCTGGAGAATATGCGACTTGTTACATTCAATTTGTGCCCAAGAATGGTATAACAGAGCAATATGCTTACAATTGGGGAAAAAAAAACAATAAAATAAATAGAAAACCAATAAGTAAATTGACAGTTTTTGTATGTTTCAAACTAGGAAGAGTAGAGTAATAGATAGAGTAACGCAGACATGGGTCTATACCAAAAATCATGCAACTATCAAATACCTTCATCAATGAAAGTCAATGTGGTAGATGCACAAGTATTTGATAAAGGCATAGATTCATTTAGTATACTATGGCTAAGACAATTGAAAAACAGGAAGAAAAAGAGAGGATAAAGCAACGACCTCATATTGGTATTCCTCGGGCATGGCAGTGGCTTCAATCTATCACCCAAAAGAAAAGAAAAGAAAACTAATTCAGAATCACAATAATATAGGATACAAGGATTAAAGAGGAATGAAAAGGAGCAGAATACACACATCAGCATCCAACAATCTCCAAATAGAATCCATGTCGTGTACTGTCTTGGAGCAAATGGGACAACGATACCTGGATTGGATGACAAATCTAAAATATATTATGACCAAACAACTACTGTTTGACTCATCCAATTTATATAATAAATTAGTTATCTCAGAGATAATATGTAGTTAACTGATTTTGTCCTAGCATCTCAATGAAGCATTCTGAATGCATTGTGTGTCCACACTTCATAATTGATGTGCCTTGAACCGAGTCAAAAAGATACTGTCAGGATAGTAAAAGGGTTGTTAGAAGACAGAAATTTTATTTTATTTTAATTTTTGAACTTTAAATAATCACAAACCTCATAGCAAACAGGGCAGTGATTCTTCATGGAGTTTTCTACACATAAGTGATTATCACGCAGTTCCACTACATAGCAAGAACCTGTTTTCATGGAAGAACATAGAAAAGGCAAATCAGCCAGCCTCCACTTTCCCTGTGTTGCCATTCCCAAAAATAAAAAAGAAAAGATGAATAAAACCTCCGTGAAAAATGCAATCTGACTGAAAATGTATGAATACTTCGGGGGACCCTAAAGGCCAACCCCACCTTATGTTATGGATCTGTTATCTCTATCATGATTTCCCTACTTCCAAAAGGAAAGATTTGTTCACTTTTTGGCCAATTATAAGAAGTGAGGGATTTGAACCCCTCACCACCGTGGTTTCAACTTTCCAGCCACAAGCTCTAATTCTCTGAGTTATAGGCCCTGCCTCATCATCACTCTTTTCTTGGAAGTACCCTAAAAATGGAGGAACTTTTCATCTCTCCAAGTTAAGACGTGAAATAACCCACTTGTATATAAGCATGGTACATCTGAAGGTGTAAAGTTGGACTAGTGTGATTGAAAAAGAAATAACAGGGATTATAATATTAAGCTTACAAAATCATAGAACAAATCCAGCAAAACAAGGTAAGTGCATACCACACTTCTGACAATGAAAGAATTTATCACGACCACCGACTCTGAGAATCAAAATTCAACGACAGAAATAGTTCAGTTTGAAAGAAGGGCACGATCCGAAAAGCAGAAATCAATAAAAGGAAGATATCACCAGTTGGCTAACCTACAAATCCCGCACTCATTGCAATGAAACTGCCGCTTGCTGATCTGCATCATTAACAAACAGTATATTTCAAATTTAACAGCTAAACAGTTGTATCCCGAAATTCAGACACTTTTATCTAATTTATCCAAAGATGACTAAAGGATTGAAACTAATTATCTTACATCATCATCATAGAACTTGCAAATATCGCAATAATATTCTCCCATGTTGACACCACAGTTAGAACAAAGCTGAGCAACCTGGGAACAGATCACAGTGCAAGCAAAATAAGCACATTTGAAAGGTTCAATTGCACTAAAAATAAACAAACGCATTATATTATAGGAACCGCCAAAATCGAACCTGTTGCTCTGTATTGCAAACGGAGCATACAACCTAAAACAGCAATAAACAATCAACACTATTATGATTAAATAGAACAGTGAAAGCAAGTGTGAATGTTAATATGAATAAATAAATATATTTGGGGGAAGGGGCATACTTGCTTCACATCCTGCCTGACAAGTTCATGGCGATCTTTGGGGTTGCTGAGGGAGCTCTAAGAACCACAAAACGAACAAAATTTATAAAAAATAAAAAATAAAAAAGTCCCAATTACACATGAATTATGAATTATAGAATATATAAAAGGGCATAAGGTGAAAGACGGGACCGCGGCTTCGTTGTGGCAGTGGCGGCAGGGGAAAATCTGGTCGCAGCAAGGGGCTCGAATCTTGCATCGTCTCCGATAATGGTCGCATCTAAATCAATAATTAGAAACAAAACAAAGATTAACAAATTACCGACGAAAAAGACGAAACGTAAGAAAAGGCCGTTGCTTTATCTTCTATTATTACCCGTAATCCAATTTTCCGAAATCTCGTCGACTCTTGGTCGGAGGCGGAGAAGCAGGAGAAGCAGAGTCTTCCATTGGATGGTTTATTGCTGGTCAATTGTGAATGCCTGAATTGCACTGGTCTGGATGGATGTGGCCAAAAGGGTGAACAGAGTCAGAGTGTAACCCAAGTTTTATCGTCTTTTTATTTTGGTCTCCTTATTTTATTTTATTTTATTTATTTACCTTTAACAATATTTTTTCAAATTACAACTGAAGCCTCCACATCCATACAAGACTCTTCGCCCTTGTTTGCTATGGTTAGGGTAAATTTGGAATACATGTCGCATGTATGCGTTAATGTAGTTTCAAGTTTCAACTATTATTATAGAAAAGGTGAAAATAAAATACGAAAGGGATCAATTGAGACTGGAATATTTACTTACCAACTTTATATTGTTGATAAGAAAAACTGTGGTTAATATGACTGAGGTTTTTATTGTTCGATCTGTAAGTCTATGACGAGAGTTTTAACGCGATATATCTCAAGTTAGAATGGACTTATTTGTAAAAAAAATCAAAATAATAATAATAATAATAATAATAATAGTGCATTATATTAGAGTTGTACTTTTACTTTAGCATGTGTATTAGAAACCTAGGATTGGCCTTGTCCACAACTGAAGTTTTCGTATAAGGTTTGACACAACAGGAGTAGTCCCCTGATATGAAAAAATGAAGCAATATGACCAGTAGTTTCAAGTAACAAAGGCAACTTAACTGCATGACTATAGATGTCACTCAAAATTTTACACACAACTTGAATCAAATATGAAAAAATGAAACAAAATAACATGTGAAAAATTCAATGTGGTGGTTCTCTGCAATCGCAGCCACAGAGACTGCTTCCCAGATTAAAGAAGGGTGCACGAGCATGAATTCATCTTTTGCATATCTTTCTGGTTTTTATCTGCACAAAACCCACCCGGAACATATAAATCAGGCACTCATCATCCATGAACATGCAGGAAATTGCATGTATCCATTGATACTAAAAGAAAGAACTTTGCAGAAACAAAGATACATTGACTAAAAAAACAAAAATATATCTGAATCCGATCGATCGACCGATCCTACTTCCGAGATTAAAAGGCGGGTTTGAACAGAACTAACCTGTCTTCTTTTGTTTGGGTACAAGGGGCTGCACTACTGCATGCATGATTACAGCCCCACCACCAGGCTGGTTAGCAGAGGTTATTCTGGAATCAGCAAGTGTTTTGTTATTCTCTAAAATTCTGCCACTATGTATGAGTTTTACTTCATTTGCAGACTTGGGTGTCACTGTTTTCGCTGGGGGTGATCGAAAAATTAAAGTTCCATTGATTAGACAAAAGTACTATAGCTAGCTTGATCAAGAGAAGTTTTAACAATCAAAATATGTTATGTTACATGAAAATGCAGCTGAAATATGGACTACTTTCACCTGTATGTATACGCCACATGATATATAGTTCATGAAATTCAATTTTCAGCAACTCATGTTCATCAAAATCCAATTTGGGTGTGGCTATATTACCTTGAGGCCACTCAGCAAGTAGCCTTTTCTTGAGATTTGCTACTGTCATAGATGGTGCATAAGAATGGTGTCCTATATCTGTCCCATCATAAATCCTGAACTTAAGCTCTATCTCCTCTCTTTGACCCATATCATAAACCCCTTCCTTCTCCTTTCTTCTTCTTCTTCCCCAAACTTGAAAACCCAAACAGACAACTTCTTCCACAGAAAGAATTCAAACTCCCCAAACCCACCTGGAAAAAAAAAACCCTCATTTAGTTTTCAACATTCCCTTTTCAAACAGATTATTCAGCACTAATGATGAAATACAAAATCCTCATAATCTTTAATAAACCAAATCAAAAATAGATTTTATAAAAGCCAAGAACGCGGCAAATGAGGATCGAACCTTATGTGCAAGAAGAAGAAGCAAAAGCTGCGCATCCGAATCAAGGGTTTGGGAGCCAATCCAACCAAGTAAGCACCTCATATGACCCAAGTGCCTCAAGAACTCGATCCTATTGATATCTCTCTGCAACAATAATATAATGTCGAATCTATTTCATGCCATATATATTCATTAAAAAAGGAATCACAAGTTTCCAAATCAAATCAGACTATAAATACTGTGATCCACGACGATCTTTCCCAATTAAATTTGATAATGCAATCTGTTCCATATTTTATAATGAAAACCAGAAATCTCCATTACATAGTGATCTGAATACAGTAATTAAGATTTTCGCATTCGAAGGAACAGTAATTAAGATCCGAGAAATTCTCACATTCTCCTCCGTAGTTATCCTTCATTTTCCTGGCAACCAAACAGGCGGTAAGAGAATCGATTCTTGAACGAAAGAAAGACGCGAGATAAGAAACTACGATTTCTTCTAGCTCTGATCGGTGGCTTTAGTTTCGTGCTCTTAAACTGCTACTGATATCTCGCCACGTGTAGAATGGAGGCTTTCTGCCGACCGCCTCGAATGACTAAGCTACTACCTCCCTCATGGTCTATGGATAGTGATGTGTCAAGATGTGATTGGGTAGGAGGAGACAAAAATATAATTTTATAAAATAGAACTTTTTATTTTTTATTTTTTATAATATGGTAGAACAAGGAATAGGATTGGATTAGCTTAATCCAATATCATTTTTTGTGTTAAAAAATGAACGTGGAACGTGGAATGTGGAAAGTGGATAGGATAAAAGACAGTCGCAGGCGCACCTCTATTATATGCCTTTTTGTAGGACAACTTATCCTATCAATGACATGGGATACATAATTTCGCTACTTTAAACCCTTGACCTTGAATTCAAGATCCGAGAGCTACGACACAAACTCAGGACACTAGTGCCAATGGAATCCGAGCCTCTACTTTTAGTTCTTGTATATTTAACCGCATTTCACAATATCTAGACCATATCTTTTTCAATCGAACGTAATTCAATGCAACTAATCCTACCTCCTAATCCAATGCAATTCAATCCTAGTCGCCAAACATGACCTAAGCACTTGCACTACTCATGTGGACTAGTGTTCAGGGTAACCTAAAATGGACCGCACCAATATGATTGTATCCTTCATGATAATTTCTTCAAACAAATAGGTTGTTTGGATAAACTTTACAACAGTGAACCTGGATCTCATATAGTTCTTACTATCAGTTCATTCAACTCAAAATCGATTCGGATGATGATGCTCGTAATATTTGATACTGATATGTAAGATTTAGTACACCTAATGTAAGATTTGAATGGATTCTGCAGGGCATGGCTATAGTTTTTTACTTTTTTATCAGGTTAAATTTGATAAATTCTACAATATTTTGTTCTGCCTGACAAGGAGCATCTTGTTATGGTATCATAAACATTACAGACTTCATTTCTTCTTCATAGTAAAACCTCGAAAACTTCATGCCAGCTGCATGCCCCTTTCACTACTTTAAGATTAATGTTTTCTTTTGAATTTTCGGGATTAAGATTGATCAGCAGAACATAAGCCAACAATGAATCTTTGTTCCAGTGTGATTCTCTGGGGGAGCTCACCACTCAACTGATTCCTTTTGGTTGTTTAAAAGTTAACAAACTTGGACAAGTAGAGCCAGCTATAGAGTTTGGCAAAGTTAACCTGTACAACTTTTATTCGTAATTTCGCTACACATCCAAGTTTGCTGGAATTTGAGTGCAAACACAGTTCTCTCTAGCTAGAGAGTTGTATGTGCAAGTTGTAGAATTGACATGTATATATTTTCTGTGTGAGAAGGATAGATATGTGTGTCGTCTGACTCTGAGGCTGTGAGTTGAAAAGGAATATGTACGGGAGATGCCATATATGCATCTTGCTCCGCACTAATAACATGTGGAGCTGTAATTTTCCATGATGTTCTTGATGGGGTGACACTGACTACCAAACACAAATCTATCGTTGGAGGGAGAGAATCAAGAGAATAAAAGAAAAGGAAGCAAAGTGTTAAAAGGAAACGAATGTAATACCTTTCTTTATCTCTGATAAAGTTGAAGAATCTATACCTAGAAAAATACACCTTTTTCTTCTTCTTCTTCTTCTCCTTTTTCCTTTTAATACCATGTATGGAGGAAAGCAAGGTGGATTATGGAAGTTAGATTTTAAATTTTCTCTCTCTACAACTCCGGATTTTTACTCAGTGTCTGGGAAGTTTCTCTGTCTTGCCTCAATTTTTCAGTTGCAACTTTTCTCAGAACGCTTAAAAAGGGTTTTAAAAGAAAAAAAAGAGATTCACAATTTACTATAATGATTTGAAAGCTAGTTAAATCCCGAACTCTTGATATTTTGCCCTGTCTGTTTCCAATCATTTCAGAGAATTTTCAGCATACAGTATACTTCAGGATATTCTATATGTAGAGGTTGACCGTAGAAAACAACAACAACAACAACAAATAATGAATAAACTGGCTATTCACTTACATTTTGTTTCACGTTGTGGAGAGAGAGCTTTGTTTCTTCTTCTTCTTTTTTCGCCTTTTCTTCTGCATGGGGGAAGTACGAAGGGAGAGCATTTTAAGATCTCCAAATGATCTAGAGTCTGCATTACTGCAATCTTTAGATTTCATAGTTTAAAATGGTATTGTTCTCATTTTGGACATCGTATAGTGGCAGTGGGGAAGCAGCAAACTACAAAATTGCACACCAAGACAGAAATTATATAAAGCTAACTTCATTAAGAATAGGAAATAGAATACATGCTATAGCTGATCAAATGTTACAGAGCACTAGACACATCAAACACTACATAACTTGTTCAAGGAGAAAAAAAAAACAGAAAAAAAAAGAAAGAAGCACTACTACATAGACTTTGCATGCAGACTCACTACGAGAGTACTAATTTGAGCCAATTTATTTTTTTTCCAACATGATATTTGAGTAGTTTTAATTAAGACATAGTCTGCTGCTGGTGAGGCTTCAGCTTTGGGATGAGTTGGCCTTTTAGGTGGAGGGACATGACTTCATTGGTTGATCCCACCAGGGTTCCGCCTATGAACACGGCCGGCACGGGGGCAGTGCACCCCAGCCTCAAAATAGCCTTCTCCATTTCCCTGCCGTCAGGATCTTGGTCAATCTCATGAACCACAGGACTCACCCCAATCTCTTGAAATAGA